CTGGATTTTTGGCCAACTGGGACTTAACTTTAAATGAGTTATTTTAATCTTTAGAATTAGCACCTTGTTTTTTTTTTTTTTTAAACACTTGGTTTTATAACAGACAAAAAATGAGATGTACATTATTTTTCCTGCAGTTTACTAAGAAGCAAAGTGATTACAAGCTACTTGCCTGTGGATAACTGTTAGCTTTTGACTAGTCATTCACTCTCAGAGCGTCTCACAAACAACTTAAGAAGTCAGCTTAGGACCACTAATAATTACAGCATTATACTGCTTTTAGAACTGGAATTATAGGTGGTTGTGAGCTGCATGTGGGTGCTGGGGACTGAACTCAGGTCCTCTGCAGAGTGGTAAGCTGCAGGAGGCACTGAGGTTCTTGTGCCCACGGATAAGTACTAGGGGAGCCAGGGTGTTAAACACGCATTGCTCTTTTCAAAGGAAGGAACCATAGAACCTGTTTTCTGCCCAAAGGCTGGAAGGCTGGAAATGGAGACGGTTTGTAGCCTGGTGACCTTTGCACTATCTGTATGACCACACAACATCCTCCCCAGACCCTTAAGATGTCACACACAGTCAGTCTGAGACTATAGCGCAGACTGCTGTCTGAACCCACAGTCGGCTCAGAACTACTCCATATTGCAATGGGCTCAACCTGCGTTCAACATGCAAACCAAAACGAGGGGCGTGGAGAAGCCGGTAGCCTCAGCACGTTGCACGGTGAGGCCAGTGGGGTCAGCTCCCTCCCAGCACCAGCCAGCGGAACCTGAGACAATGGCCGAATTACCTTGCTCCTGGGACTTAGAAATCTGTCCTCCACATTTCAGTCAGCTATTCTCCCCGAGGAATTGTAATTGGCCAATACAATTATTCTTATTTGAAGATAAGAAAATATCAAAGAACAACACTCCTCATCTGACCTAACCATAATGTTTCTTTTGATGTTATGGGACTCCCAAACCTCTGGGATCCCTGACGACCAGCAGTCCACACAGAAACCACACCAAGGAACTGGTTACTGTAAGAATTAGTGACCATCTGGGCACTCACCTGGCTCTAAAAGTTACACCTCTTGGAAATGCCAAGCAATTTTTTTTTTTTTTTTATCTGCAGCCCCTGGCAGGAAGAAATCTGTATGGGAGTCTTCCACTTTCCAACTCACCAGCTTGTTGCCAGTGGAGTTCATTTCTCCCACCACTCCTTCCCCTGCTCTTAGCTTTACTGGGTAACAGCGGAACCAGATTCCTCATGTTTACAACAGTACATGTTCCAATCTTCATGAGCAATTCAGTGAGAATACCACTGCCTTCCTTCTATGGAGGAGTCCTGCCTGACACCATGCAGCTGGGTGAGGGAAAGGCCAGCCCTTGACACCTGGGCCCTGGTGCTTCCTTCACTCACCCACCTCCACAGCTCCGGGTTAAGTTTGTTGCAGTGGGCACTGTCAGCTAGTGGGCTAGTGTCTTGAATTGACTTGAAATCCTGCTCTGTGCCACACACGCCCAATCTCTGGTGGCTGTAGATGGAGGAGGGTGTGTGTGTGCGTGAGACCTGCCACTGGGCGGAAGACAGAAACTTGTGGTCGTGGGCATCGTAAATTTGAGTTCAAATCTCAGCTCTGCCAAACTTGGAGAACGGATACATCCTATTCAACACCTTAAGAACCATTACAGACGTGGCCTTCTGCCTCCCAGTAATCCTAACGTCTGCTGTCACTTGCTCTGAAAGCTGCCCTCACAGCAGCCCATCCAAACCGCAGAGTTGGGGGACGGTCCTGTACACTGTGCATTCAGATACTGACTTGTGGCTGCAGTCCAGACGTGGGCGTCAAGTTGTGTAAAACATGCTCCCCAACTATCTCTGATTGGTTAGTAAAGAAGCTGATTGGCTGAGAGCTGAGCAGAGAGGACCAGTCAGGGAGTCTCAGGAAGGGTCAAGAAAGGAGGACAAGAGCAGGGTCCTCCATCAGGAGTCTGCACGAGGGCATAGAGATGCAGCAGAAGGGGAGGGCGAGGCTGAGATGGCAAGTGAGAAAGAGCACATGGCTGGGAAGTAGCCAGACTAGCATAATTGAGTTAGCAGAGATAAATAGCTGCCAGTTGTAGTGCTTAAAGCTTGTTGAATACATTTAATAGGTTTCGGCATCAATTACTCGGGAGCTAGGGAGGGTATCAGAAAAAGGCCTCTACTCATGATAATTTTACACCATGGAACCATCACTGCCCTCATGCAGCACAGAAATGCAATTCATTAATTTAACTCAGCAGTGCTAAACATGAACCTAATTCACTTGCTGCCAACATCTCTGCTCCCTTGAGAAATGTCTGTGGCTAAGGGACAGCATCATCATAGAGGATATGACAGAGCAGAGCTGAAGTAAACCTAGTTTGTCAGAGGTACAATGGGAATATCCTAAGATAGTTAGTTCCAGCTGGGAAACACAGCTGGAACAAAAAAAGTTAAAACAGAAACCAAACAACCCGGAGTGAAAGAAAGACCTTTAAGGCCCGAACTAGAGTAGTCTAAATATTTCAGCGATGCCCTAGCTCATTGTACCTGCTGTCACTGGCCTGTTTTTCCAGGCTGGACCTGCCTAGGAAGGCTCCACAGTTTGTGACCTACCCTGAGAGTCAAATCAAACAGAATGGGAATCAGACCAAACAAACATGATTGGATTGGAGTGTGGATTCTATAACCCCAGAGTGGAAATTACTTTTCATCATAAATTTCATTTTTCTGATGAAGAAGCTGGACACTGGGCTGTCCACAGAGTCCGTGGGATCATCTGCTGAAGGCTGCATTGACCTCATAAATGGAAAGCACCAAAGGTGAGGAGGTCACTGAGCGGGCCTGCTGGAGAGAAAGCTGCTGCCCTCACTGGTGGCTGCTGGCAGAGAGACTGGCTGCTCTCGCTTCCCAGGGTCCTCACCAGTGTCTAAGAAACTTTCTTCAAAATAAACTCAATTTCAAACTTCTAGATACATGCCAAAACATATTTGATTATTGGCTTAAAAAATAATTCTCTGAAATTTCATAGAAAATGAAATAGAAAAATCAACAGGGAACAAAGCCTCTGAGCGAGCCTGTGACAAGCCTTCAACCCTGGCTAAAGATTAACAATGATAATCATATTACTAAACTGGGGAAGAGTCGTTGGTTAAAACTACTGCACTTTGGAGAAGTTAAGCAAAGGTCTAGGCTAGGGACACAGCTCAGTGGCTGCGTACTTGCCCTGGCTCCATTCCCAGCCCTGGGATGGAGGTGGGGTTTACTGTGCAGTTGGCTCCTTTGGGGCTGGGCAGGTGAATTAGCCCCCCCCCCCATCTGGGGCTTCTCAGGTCCAGACACACTGGGCTTTCCATGCAGCCTGAGGCCGCTATGTCCTCACAGCCTCCTGAGATATCTCCCTGTGTTCAAGATGACAGCCTGGGCAGTTCTGTACTTAACCACAGTCTAAGAGGCGATGTGTCTGCGATGGACAACCACACTAAATCAATGCCAACTACTTCCTAATTTGTTGGCCAGTCACTTGCCCACAGCAGTCCTTCCCTGTGGTCACTGCCATTCAGGAGATTAAAGCATAGGTTAGAAAGTTAGACTCTGTGTAAAGAGTTCGAAAAGCATGGAGAGATGGCTCTGTGGTTAAGAGCACTTACTGCTCTTCCAGAGGACCCGGGTTCAATTCTCAGCACCCACACCAGGTGGTTCATAACTGCCTGCGACTTGCACATAGTTTCATCTAACCACACAACCAACCAACCAACTAATCACTCAATCGATCAAATTTGTTTTCAGTTGCAATGGATTCATGCTATAAACTTTCTGCTTTCAAGGCTGGTGTTAGATGCAGATATGGGCCCTGCTGCTCCACCCCCCCCGTGTGGTGATAAGCACCCCCAAGCACTCAGGTGATGAGACAGCCTGTGCATGTTCCAGTCTGCAAGCTCAACTCAGCCCGGGCAATTTAAGCAGCCACCCAGAGCAGGGGGAATCCGTATTTTAAAAATCTGTTATTGATTTCTCCTTGAGATGGTGACATTAGCCTGCAAAATGACAAACCACTACCCAGCCATCAACAGAATATTTTGGACATATTCAGTCCACTCAAAAGAAACAAGTTGGAGTTGGGAATTTAGTGGTGGAGTGCATATTTAGCAAGAACAAAGCCCTGAATTTGGTCCTCAGCTCCAGGAAAAAAAAAAAAAATCAACTCACAGATTATACATACCAAAGTCTATGAAATGACGTTACAAATTAATAGTATTAACTAAATAGTAAGTTTGAACTTTGTACAGATGAAGCACCTGGGTGTGCGCACACACATACACACACACACACACACACACACACACACACACACACACACACACACACACACACACACACACACACACCCAGGAAGGGATACATAAGCTTCACACATTGATAGATTCCTAACAATGAGTTGGGGGGGGGGGAACTGACTATTAGACTTCTTAGCTTGAACTCCAAACCATCTATTGGCCTTAGCCACAATTCCACACAGCTAAAGGCCTTGTTCACACAGCTAAGCTGCCATGTTTGCAGTAACAGATACTTGGTTTCACTCTCAGGCAGCAAAAGTCACAAGGTGGAGGTCAGGGAGAAGGCCAAGAGGCTGAGAGCGCTTCCTTCAGAAGACCTGGGCCGTTCTATCACTCACACCCGGCAGTGTGCATCCCCAGGGGAGCGGATGCCCTCTGCTGGCCGCTGAGGCACCTACAGACGCATACTCAGAAGTGGTGTGGGTGCACACACCCCCCAACATTTTTTAGGTCAAGAGTCAGAAGGTGGACGCTCTGCCTCCTGAGGCATTCTGGCCCTGCTGTCTGCACAGCTTTCTCTGCAGGAAGTTAGGAGGGGAAAGAGCGTGTTTCCTCTCAGCTTTTGATGCATACTCCAAACCCACCAAACGGCCACAGCACTCTCTCCCTTGTGCAGAGCTTCGGCTGCACCCGTCACCTAACCCTTGAACGCACAGATGGAGCAATTCTGTATCAGAACCAGGTGGGAAGCTACAAACTCTCCCCAAACACTGTCATTTCTGCGAATGTGCCAACCACAGTCCTGAGGGGAGGGGTGTCTGCGCTCCTGGGACTTCCACTCGTCCTCCAAACAGCTCTCCGTCACACAGCAGTCACAGCAGGCCTGCGTCCAACACTGTAGGAGCCTCGAAGTGCCCCCTTTACCTGAGTGCCCAGCCCCCATCCCTGCTCCCTGAATCAAGGGCAGAGAGAAAAGCTTAGGCAGTGTTCCTAATGTTGCAACAGCCGCAACACTATTTCATAACTCTAACTTGCTACAGCTATGAATTGTAAATATGGTACGGGACCCCAGCTGAGAACCGGCATTTAAAGCAGGTGCAGCAGAGGAGGGATCAGGGGTGAGAGAAAGCTACAAAGAAAGGTCCTGGGTAAGTACCCAAACTCTGAAGTCCAGCAGAGCCAGGCTTCTCCATGAGGTCTAACACACACTCGGATTTCTTTGCTCTCCTCTGGCCAGCTGTGACACTTTAGGCAAGTTACTCAACTTCCGAGCCTCCGTTTTCAAAGCTGGATTATGCAGACACTATTAAGGATCGGAGGAAGCATCGGAGGAACAGGAGAAAAGTCAGAGCTCTAATCCCTCAGGCACAGACCTCAGTCCGGTCATTGTCATTACGGGGCGGCTGCACGTGCGATGCTCAGTAACGTGGTGGGGGAGCTGAGGGTGCGGGTCTCACGGATCTACCCGGGGCACGCCGGTCCCCGAACAGACCAAGGGCTGGAGGCGGCCACCGGGGGCTCTCCTCGACGACCTCCGGGTCCCCGCTGCTGGGAGACACCTGGTCACCGGGCCAGTGCGCGCCCGCCCATCCGCGTGGACACAGTCCCCCGGCAGCCATCTTGGCCGCCTGCACCCAGCGAGTTTCGTCACGCGGTGGCTAGGGACGCGTGGCAGGGTGCGTGATGCGCCCCTCCCCACCGGGGGACGAGAGCAGCTCTAGGCCGGAGTCTCCCGGGCCCCAGGGGAGCCCTGCGAAGCCACGAGGTCCCGGGGCGCAGGCAGCCGCCGCAGCCATCCCCGGCGCGCGCAGCGGCCCCCGCCGGGCCCCGGCAGCAGCCGACCCGGCGCCAGCCCGCGCGTCCCCGGCTCTCCGCGCGCGCCCCGCAGCCCCCCGCCACTCACCGCCTCCCCGGCCGCCGCCCGCGCCTCTCGGTCCCGCTCGGCGCCGCCTCCCGCTGCCGGAAGCACCACGGTGCTGGGAGCTCGGCCCTGCCGAGGCGCGCTCACGACGCGCGGCCCCGCCCAGAGGCCCCTGCCTCTGCCTCGGTGTCACTCGGCGCCCAGGGCTGCGCACGCGCCTCGTGCCCGCGCTTCTGCTTCTGGCCCCACCGAGACCGCCCAGGTTGACCCTAGCAGTGTGCGGCCCAGGCCAATGGCACTGTTTTCCTGTTTAGTTTCCCTTAGGAGACCACCTTTCATCACCACTCCTTCATTCATTTGGGCTGGCGTTTCTTACTGGCGCTGTAAGGAAATTTGCACGGTACTAGTGTCACCTCCTCATTTACATCTTCAAAAGAGTCCCTGGCTGCTAGGCAGAGACCGGACCATAGGAAGGTGAAGAGCAGAGGTCCTTTCTGAGGGTGCCTGAGCTTTGCCAGGACAGACCAGCTTGGACTAGGAGGAAGGATGAGTTGAATTCTGGAAGCATTTTGAAGGCCAACACAATCTGACAAATGATGCATTACGTTCCGTGCACAGGCAGAAAAATTCCATTTTAAAAGACACAAGTTCTTCCCCAAATAATCTCTATAAGTAATGAGATTCCAAGTAGAATTTGCACGTGTGTGTTGTGTGTGTGTGCCTGTTTGTAATCCAATAAGGTGGCTGTAAAATGTATATGAGAAAATAAAAAGCCCGAAACAGCCAAAAGGCTTGGATGGGGTAGATCGTCCTACAGTCACAAACTTGGGTACAGAGCAACAGAAGAAAGGAACTGTGTTTGTACCAGGGCCAGCCAAACACACACGCCAGACCCTGCAGCCAGGTGTCCAGGGAGAGAGGGGAAGCTCTCCAGCTCCTGTCAAGGGTTTCCACCAGGCAAGGCTGCACCAAGAAGGCACTAATAACATTAAAGAAAAGCAGCGTTCCTTCTGAGTGTGGAGGGGATGATGTGACCAAGACCACTGATCAAAATAGCTACCAGTGAACTTAAAAGAGCTGTTGCCTTGGAGCCTACTGAATGCCATGTGACCCACTGTTTCAAGCTCCCACCCCCCAGTATGATGGACTATGCTTTTGAACCATGGCCAAAACCAAACCAAACAAACAAACAAACAAACAAGCAAACAAAAAAACCTTTCTCCTTTGGGTGCTTTTGTCAGAATGTTTTATCACAGCAACAGAAAAAGAAACTAAGGCAGTTCCCATTAAGTCTAAGTCAAGAAGATAAGTCAAGCCTGTCACTGTATTGGTCCATTGTACTAGAGTCATTAAATGTGTCTCTTTCTAGTTAGTACTGGCTTGTGTGAATTCTTTTACTGCCTACCAATTCCCCCAGACAGTTGTGGCTGCTGAATACACTGTATCACAAGGCCCTGTAGAGAGGTGAGGTGTTTCAGTACTCCATGAAGGCAGTTTTATACAACGTAAAACTGACTCAGTTGCAGGTAGTTCCTAAACCAAACATGAAAAACAAAACTTTGAGCAATATTTCCCAGACATTCTGGATGGTATCCATTACTCTCAGAACTTCCGCGTGTGCTTAATCTATCTCTAATGTGGGCTCAAATAAGATTGAGAAGGAAAGCAAAGACCCAATGTCCTGGCTAGTTTTCTGTCAACTTCACACAAGTTAGAGTAATCAGGGAGGAGGGAGCCGCGATTGAGAAAATGCCTTTGTGAGATCAGCCTGTAAGCAAGCTTGTGAGACATTTTCTTAATTAGTGATTGACGGGGGGGGGGGGTGCCCACTGTGGGCAGTGCTATCCCTGGGCTCCTGCTTCTGGGTTCCTTTCTTCCACAATGAACAATGAAGTGTAAGCCAAAAACAAAACAAAAACCAAGAATAAACAAACAAACAAAAACCACTTTCCTCCCCAAGTTGCTTTGGTCATGGTGTTTCATCACAGCAATAGTAACCCTAACTAGGACACCCGACAAAACACAAAAGGGCCCTACAAGGAGCCAGTGGGCTACAAGAGTGATTGTAGCAAGTATTTAAAATAAATACTGTTAATCCAGTAGGAAGTTTGCAACAGTGGAATATCTGACTTGATATCTTTGCAACAGCATCTGTAACTAAGCGCAAGCCAGATGGGATCCACCAGGTTGGCTGCAGAGCTGAAGGCCTCAGAGATACAACCCCATCAGTTTTCTGTTGCTACAGTAACCACATATCATAACTCCAAACCCCAGGCCGTACAACTGTAACATTGTAACATTGTGTCATATCCCTGAGTCTATGTGCTGGCTGTGCACTTCTGCTTCTTTGAACTTGCTCTCTGCTAGCTTAAGTCATTCATCCCCGGATGGCTGGCAGCTGTACTCACTCTGCATCTGAGACCTGAGCTAGAACAATGGACTGACTTTACTCTGTTCCAGTTTCTCTTCTTCCATGGGCTGTCCTGGGTGTGTTTGCAAAGCAAAGGAATGGATGGGAAGAGAGTGCATAGAGGCCGAGACAGGACATGCATGCTTGCATTTCTGCTGCAGTCTGTGGTCCAAGCAAGTGACCAAACCATCACTCATTCATGAGGAAGAGATCACATCTCTATTGTCAGGATCTGCCAAGCAACATTGTGCAGGTGAAAAACTGGGTGACCCCTCCCCAATTTGTCATCTATGTCTATGCCCTGTCATCACCATGACTCTCCTGGGGATAGTCCCTCTCCCTAGTTCCACTTGATAAGGCCAGATGATCACTTATGGAGTCTATCTCAGACCTGCCTCAGTTATAGGTACATGACTAACACTGGGTCAAACTGGCCCCTGGCCTGAATTTGTGTGCAAACACTGGGAAAGAGACATTGATCCTCTGCAGTTTCTGTTCCACACAAGGACTGGGGGTGCTAAGCTAAGAGGATTTGTATTAAAGGATGCAAGTCACCCCTTTTCCCAGTTTGCAAAAGTGAGCAAGCCAAAAGATTGAGAGTTTGGAGGGCATGTCAAACCTTGAGCCTAGCCAAGGGTCTGTCCCGGGCTTCTGGTTATAGGGACAAGAAACCTGTCCCTCCCTCACCCCATGTATACCTTTTGATCTACATTTCCAGGCCTGGCTGGCTGGGGATTCAAGGCAAAAATCCGAGGTGAATAATGATGAATTTGAAGTAGAAGACATAGGTAAACAAAAGAGGAAGAAATACGAGGAAGTATCAAAAGAGAAAGTGTGTGACTCATGTGTTGGTAACATTGTTTTAAATACACAGGTTTTGTTGTTGTTTATTTGTTTTGTTTTCACCAGAAGTAGCTTCAGCATGCCAGCCTTGCGGGCAGGTCATCTTGGCTTCTGAGTCCACAGCTGCTTTGATGCCAGTGGGACCCAGACAAATTACATCTTAACTTCTCCTTGCCTCAGTGTCTACAGCTCTAGGATGAGTTAAAGCAAACATCAGCTTCAGGGTCTAGTGTGAAGATTACCAAAGTTATGGACATCAAAGATTAGCAGAGTGCCTGGCTCCAGGGAGTATGGATTGTTCAAAATTTTGTGTGAGAAACTTGAAAGCACTGGGATTGAGCGGAATTTAGTCCCTTCCACTGAGCAGGCAAGTACCCTACCAGTGAACTATATTTGGACTGGAAAATTTCTTTACAACAAGAGGCTTATTTTTGTGTTCAACTTTATATTCTTATTGTCAAACAGGGCTGGGTTTAGTATGTGCTTGTGAAATATGATATTAGGCACACACCAATGTTTTATGCTCTTTTCTTCCCTTACAGTCAGAGTTCCTCATTCTTGTTCACCTTTCATTCATGATTTACTCTGCATGTGCTCATGGCAAATGAACCCACCCAAGATGCTCCCTCCAGCTGATGGAGAATCTGCCCTGGTTGGAGCAGGTTGAAGGCCCTGTGTCCTGAAGCAGATCTCAGGCTTAAAGGTGAAGACAGACTGTAATCACAAAGGTTATCAACAGGTAACAAAAGGAGAGGTGACAGCAACTGTGCAGGTAATCTGTGTGGAACACACCTGTTCCCACGTGAAGAGCTGGAGAGAATCTCCCCCTGAGTCTGTGTTTCCTTTGTTGATTGGTTGGATGTTTTCCCCTCAAATGATGGGGAAGCCTATAGGTTCTGGGTCCAGCAATTGAGCAGAGCTTTAGCGACAGGAGGAGACTGGCAGTAACTGGGGGCCGCCATGAGCTGGGCTGTCCTGTAATGAGCAATTTCTTCTTGTTGTACCACGACCATTCACCAGCGTAAAAAAATGAAGATCTGGTCTCTATGTAGACGTGGCTTCTACACTGCTTCTGGGCTCTTCTGCACAGGAAATATGTGCACATTTTGTCAATATTGAGATATAGGCTACTTTTACTACAGGAATGATGAAGTTGACACTTATGTTGACCTTGTGCTAATAGACTGTTCATTTTGGTATAAATGATATTAAATATAGGTTGGTATGCACATATGCACTATAAAATTATTAAGATAGAATAGTATTTTTCATTAAAAATTCTAACAAAATTGTTAAATTTAGTCTCTAAGTCCATTGGCTATCAGACTTAATATTACCAAAATATAACCTATATAATTAAGTTTCTGGCATATGCAACATGATAAAAACTCATTTTTATGGATTTGAGGCATTATTTTTAAAAATATATGATGTTTGTGTTTATAAATAAGACCCATACTTTGTCTGAAGTATACATATAAATTTACATAGAGCTTGTAAAAATAAATCTTATAAGAAAGATTTGTACGAAGCTAGGTCCATAATAACCAAAATGTTGTCTATAAGGAAATTTTCAATGCATCGTATTAAAGCAGCATGGCTCTCTTAAAAGATTGGTGTACCAATAGCTAAATTTAAAAAAGGTCACTGTCTCGCTGTGTAAACTGTCCATAGCAGCACAGGGTAGCTCTCACACTAATTAGCACACACAAAGTTAATTAATACCCTGGACTCCAGGTCAAAGGCTCACTGGCTGAGTGGGGCCATGATAAAGAGAGCCACAGAGGACCCGAGGCCAGGCCAAGTGAAGATGGCACACCCAGTACACACTTGGCACACCCAGTACCCAAGGGCTGAGTCTACCCAGCTTAGTACATTGTCACTAAGGGAAGAAGGGCTTTCCGTGGCCTCCTCTTCTGATTTTTTCCAATACAAGCCATAAATAAAGATTCCTAGTGCAAAACTTTCTAATGTTTGCAACTAAGTTATTATAAGTGAAAGTTGAGAGAGCCAGATGTTGTCACAACTAGGCTTGCGATCCTGGGCACTAATTTGTTCCTTGCACATAGAGCGTTGCTGTATAAAATATGCATCCCAGTAACTCTTACTTTGAAGGGATAAAAATGAAAATTATGAGACTATGACTGCTTGTAGCTAAAAATAAAGATCGGTCTGTACCCCAAGCCTCTGACCTCCAGTTTCCTGTGTCCACATCAATCATGATGTTCTCAGATATTAGGGGAAGCTGAGCTCAGGGTGTTGGAGACACTGGGGTGAGTTACACAGTCTCCAAATCAAGACATTCAGAGTGAAGGAAGGAGAGAGCAAAACCCAGACTAGAAGCAGGTCATCTCAGGGAAAGACAGGCCTAGAGGAAGGAATTTCCATTCTGGGTGTGCGCTGGGGAGGTTTCAGGGAAGAGGGGACAGATGAACTGAGGTTCAAAGGAGAAATTGGGAGAAGAGGTGTGGAAAGGGACCAGCATGCCTGACTGCCCGAAGCCCCTCCAGCCCAGTGTGGGTGAGACGCTGCCACTGTTGGGATGGTAGCATGAGCTGGAGTTAGATGTTTAGAGGGACAGGTGGAGTTCTGCCATGCAGCATAGCTAGAGGACATGTGTGGATTCTGTCCTCAAGAGGGGCTGAGGTAGAGGACACGGAGAAGAGGAGCTGAGGTAAAGGACATGGAGAAGAGGAGCTGAGGCAGAGGACACGGAGAAGAGGGGCTGAGGTAGAGGACACGGAGAAAGAAGAGGGGCTGAGGTAGAGGACACGGAGAAGAGGGGCTGAGGTAGAGGACACGGAGAAGAGGGGCTGAGGTAAAGGACACGGAGGCACTAGCTCCTTCTCTGATGAAGGTGGGGAAGGCATGGAGCTACAGCCAGGGCCAGAAGGAGAGCACGAAGCTGAGAGAAAGGGCAAAACACAGATGCGGCCAGCAAGGCCACTCTCCAGGAAGAGTGTGGACAATGGAGCTCCATGGTCAGTCGTACAGGTCCCAGCCAGCTCCACACTGGAGTTAACTAGGGAACTGTGAAAGACTCACCTTCCTTCTCCAAATGGAGAACACAGAATCTGGATTCTTCCAGCATTCGTGTACTATGAAACAAGAGGCTGGCACCCATCTGCAGTTCTACCGCAAAGGGATCTGGAAACGTGCTTTGTAACTCTCTCTGCCCTAAAGAACAGGGGAGAAAGCCGGGAGAGGCTTGGGATGAGGACCTTCCGTGTCTTCTGTAGTTCCACTACGCCTGTGGCAGGGTGCGGGCAGTGGTGTCTGTATTATCCTGTGTAAGCCAAAGCCTCAAGTGTTTTCAGACTCTTCTCTTCCTTGGCTACAGATCCTGTTACAGGAGTAAGGAGGCTGAATCTTCTCTCCAACCAAAAGCTGTTTCTCTTCTATGTTTTCTCATATTTCCTTTTAAGAAATTTTTAGTAATTACAATTAAGTTATAAACATCCACACCTGTGTGTGCGTATTAATGAAGGACTATGAAGAAAGACAGTTTCTTTCATCAGTCCTGCCTCTTATTTGTGAGTGATCTCAGGCAAGTTGGTGTTAGTGTCTTCATGTTAAACAGGTTGATAAAACTTGCACCAGAGTTGGCCAATAGAGGGTGCTAAAGGGACAATAACCCGTTCCCATTTGGCTGCTTTTTTTTTTTTTTTTTTTTTTTTGTACGTGTTTCATTTTAGCGAATGTGAACAGCAACAGCAGCCTTCATCACACTGGAAGGAAAAGAAAACGTTTTTGTGCTGTCTTTGATTCAGAAATCCCCATCCTTTGGGAATTGGTTTTGCTCTGATGTTGTTTAAGCACAGCCAATTAATTCTATAATTTATAAGTTAACTTAATGACCTCTTGCCCTGCCATTGAATTTTATACACCAATTATATACACCATCTGGCTTTAAGAATCATATGTACTGATATGAAGACTGTATTCAATTTATGATTTTGCCTTTTACACTTTCAAGTAGTCAAAAAATTATAATTTAAGAAATAATGTTGAATCCTTGTCTGAACCTGTGTTGGGGAGTTAGCTTTGGCTCTCTGGGGCCTGATAGAATAGGTACCCTGTCATAGTGAACCTCAGTCACAGCTGCAGAGACGGCTGCACTGTGTGCCCGAGCTTTGTGTGTCAGAAGGCTCCAGTGCCCTGCACAGACAGCAGGAGCTTTAAGAGATGAGGCCGAGTGTGAAGTCAGGGGCTCCTGGGTTATCACCCTTGGGGAGAATGCATATGGCTCTTAGATAATCCCGGTTAGTTTCTGCCAAAGGAGTCTTGCAAAAGAGCAAGTTTGGCCTCGACTCTCTGACTTCCTGTCTCATCACATGACTTTTCTTTTGTGCACACACTCCTACCTTCATACTTTCTGTCACATTGTGATAAAGCCAGAAACCTCCTCTCCAAGCAGATAGCACCCCACCCTCCCGAATCTCCAGGACTGTAAAGTAAATAGATTTCTGTTCTGTTAAAACAACAACAACAGCAAAAATACCTGATCCCAGGTAGTTACTGTGGTAACGGAATTTGCACTACAGCAGCCATCCTCACCTCACCCATGGAGACTGTAGCCCATAGAGTCAGAAAGGACCAGACTGGATGCAACCACAACTTGACTCCATGCCTTTGGGCAAACACATTCCCCTTTCTTCTCCCAGTCTTCCCATCCAGACAGGATTCACATGGAAGACTATGCGTGGTCTGAATCCAGGCCCTGCCGGTTGGTGGTTTTAACTTGTTCCTGGTCTGTGTATACACACCACCCAGGGATATGGAGAGAAACCCAATCAAACTGTAAGTGTGTAACATCCAAGAGATCGCAAGTGTGGCATGACTGAACACGCAGAAGAGCTGCAGGGAGGAGTCGGCACAGGCATGCCCACAACTCGGCAGGACTGTAGCACGAGGCAGCTGGTATTTGTTGCAAAGAGTAAATTAAGGATGCTTCTTGCTTAAGTAAAGATGTTCCTTGCTCGGTAGCTTCTGCCACATCTTTTAGCAGCCAGTTTTTCCCTGGGTGACTCAGGCCACAAGAGAGCTTCACTGTGCAGGTGACAAAGATTCTTCAGTGGTCCACCAGGCATTCAGGCTAGCAGGAAAGCTCTGTGTAGCCTTAGCTGGACTGGAACTCGCTCTGTAGACCAGGCTGGTCTCTAACTCGGCAATCTGCCTGTCTCTGCCTCCCGAGTGCTGGGATTAAAGGTGTTTGTCACCGCCGCCCAACTTTGACATTTTTTAAAACCATTTCGATAAAATAACACAAAATTTACCGTGTTAATTTTAATTTTGAAGCATGTGCTTCCACAGCATGAAGCATATTCACAAAACTCCGATAGGGAGAACTCTCTCTCCATCATTATAGCCGTACATAAGGGTCAAGCTAGGCTGTTGATCAAGGGAGGGAAATGATACACTGCTTGGCTGTTTAAGCTTACAGTTGTTGTCAAGAACAGAAGTTTACAAACAGATAAGTCATTGGAAAGATGCAGTACCACAAAAGTTATGCAGGGGAATCTGAGAGGGGTAACCCGGGATACAGTGGGTTCAGGTCTTCTCTTTGCTGCCCAGGCAAATGAATACAGCGGCTGCAGTGCATTAAGATAAAATTAAAGCATGAAATATGCCTTTCTTCTTCCTCTTGATAGGAGAGTGATTTCTGGGTGTGAGCGCAGAAATCCCCTTTGGCTATTGTAAGCACAGGGGCCCTGAGGGACAGACACACTGGGGGGAAGAGGTGGCTTGGGAACAGACAGGAAGCAATGACTGCATCTCTTATCAAAGACTTGACTACAATTCTGACCCCAAAGAGCCAGTCAAGGCCAAACAGATTCTGTATCTCTCAAAACTAAGGGGTTTAGATGGGAGAAGGAAGAACCTGGTCATAACCACAGGTGGGGCAAGTGCTAAGACCTGTGTAGTAGCAGGTCCAGATCACAAGCTGGTAGAAGCATGTGAGTAGAAAAAGAAAATCCATGTTACAGCAGATGGCTTAGTGGATGAGGGCATTTGGTGCTCAGCCAGACAATTTGAGTTTAGTCCCCAGGATGCACACTGTGACAGGGGAGAAACTGTCTCCCAGTTGTCCTCTGACCTCCACATATGTGCTGGAAACATGAATACCTGTCCACACACACATGAATATATACACATAAAATGTCTTTGTTAAAAGAAAAAAAATCAAAGGAGAACTGACATACCCAAGTTGTTTATCTCAACTCCAGTTCCCCTTGCTGCCAAGAATTGTGTGCCTTTTTAGGTTCAAAATTAAAAAGAAATGTCAAGAATAAAACGTAAAAGTTGAGATATTTCTTGACTTCTTGACATCAATCAACAAAGGACATTAGAGTCCCCCCCTCAGAGAGAAATCCAGGATGGAGAGTAGACTGTGCCCCTACTTCCTGATTCCCCCATGGTGGGAAACGAGGGAGATGAAGCGGGCAGGTGCATCCACTTTCTGCCTCAAGAGGAGTCCCCACCCGAGGTGCAGTCTGGGAAACTCTCCAAATTGAAGAGCTGAAGAAGAAACTAGCTAGAACCTGGGAGAGAGAGAAAGACAGAGAGTAGGAGGAGAGAGAGAGAGAGAGAGAGAGAGAGAGAGAATTGAAGAAAGGGAATGAGAGAGTATCTGTATCTTCAGAGAATCCTTTTTTAGTTCATCAGAGAGCTACTTCATGAAGATGAGGAAATGTGAATGAGAGTTTGATGAAACAAAGCTTGACGCTCATAAAGGCCCACAGACAGCCCCTGTTCTTACCAGCCAGACTCAAAAACACCATCACTCATGGGACATGGGGCAGAGGGACACAGAGGAGTCAGCTCATCTCAGGTATGTGAAGACAGCCTCAGATCAAAAGTTGTTCCATTCTACTCAATACACCTTCAATGCGAGATCTGAGAAGATCGAACTGTTTTTGGGTAACTCTCTAGGATCCCAGGAGTTAAAAAAGTAAGCCTTTGAGGCATCCATGTTTGGGGAGGCCTGGAAGAGCACCGATATAACGTCCTTCTTTATATACGGGTTAGTCTGTCACTTGGAGGCAGGCTGGGTGAAGATGGAGAGCGACATGTCGAGGATGTAAACTAGGGAGCGATCGTGAGCATAGCAGAGGGTTAGAAAGTAACAGGATGGTAAAGGAGAGAAGGTGGAAATAGATGATGATGCCTCAAGGTCTGCAGTGTGGCTCAGTGGCAGAGCGCTCACCTAGTGTTCAAGAGGTCTCAGGTTCAACCCACAGCCTGGGAAACCAAACCTCACTTAGGCCTATAACAGAGGAAAAAGAGTGACAGAATCAGAAAACACATTATTATGCTCTCTAGCTGTCAATTTCTACCCAAAGGGACATATTCAAAGTTGTGTGACAGCTATGGAGGAGGAAAACAGGGAGCGGGGTTAGGCACTTCAGTGTTACTGTCTGCGATAAGCATTGCAGTTACTTTTGAAGATCAAACTATCCACTCTCTTCCTTAACATTGTAAGCCATCATTTTTGGGAATAAAGCCAGCTCTGAGTAATCCCGAGGCTGCCTCCACACATCACCTGAGAACATTTGACGGTGCAGCTGTCTGCCAGGGCCTTCCACAGTCACTGACTTTTACAGCCCCCAAATAAAAAAGTTATTGAAAGCATCTTTTAAACCTCTGCCTCCTTACCATGCATAAATCACAGGAGAGCTTCAAAGACCCGCTGATTTTGGAAACAAAGATGCTTTTGTGTTTGTGTCTACATTCCCAGCATGATCGAATGCTTATAACTGGAGCATTTATATTCCTCTTCTCACTGTTGGTAGGGGAGATTTTTAAAAACAAAATGGAAGGTTTTGTTTCACCTTGAGCCCAGGGGGTAGGGCACAAATCTCTGGCTAAACCTTGAGATCCTCTGATGTTCATACCGTTCGTGGGGGAATCCTGAGGTTTAAGCTGCTCTTTACCCTTCTTCCCTGTTTCCCTAGTGCCTGCGCTCACAGGGCAGTGAGCCAAGCCTGGCAGGAGAGGGTCCTGAGTGTGTCTGTTAACGGGTCACAGAGTCATAGGGAAATAATCTAACACTCTTGTTTCCCATGGATGAGAAACAAATCGACCCATTGCAAGTCATGATTTCTTTTAGTTTTTCTCTACTGTTCACCAGCATTTTTTATTTGCCGGCAATCTGATGCTTTGGCACGAAAAATGGCTGATGTTTTCTTGTGGTAGAGAAATATCATGAGCAAAGTGATGAGTGACAGTGAGGAAGACAGAGACAGGTTTGGGCTGGTTTTAACAGCTCAGAGACATTTTCGGTCAGAGGTCTCTCTGAGTAGCTGCCAGTGATGAGAGAAGGCAAGGTTGTCCTGTGCACGGTAATCAGCCCACTCTCCCATCTTCTGAGGCTGCTTTGCCAGGGACTGGATGTTTGGCACCCGAGTCAGCCCTGTAATGTCTGTCATCCTGCTTTAACAGAGCAGTGGCCATTGTGCAGGATGGCTGGCCTAGGGACACTTCTCAAAGGCAAGCCATTAAGGGAAGTTTCACCCTTCAAATTGCCCTCCTTGTCAACTCCAGCTTTTGTTGCTACATTCTTAAGTATTCCTGTGTTGTCATCTGCACTTCAAGTACAGGCCCAGGGAGTTTTTTCCTCCCTAAGGGATCCTCCTTCTTCCCGTGTGCTCAGTCCTGCCCCAAAGGAACCCCAGGCTTCTGTGCTTTAAGGGTGCTGAGTGCCCTTCTCTTGCTTAATCCAGGTGAGCCCGGTGGTAGCAGAGTGCGAGGTCTTACACAATTTCAGAGTCACACGGCCATCTTGCCCGAGGCACATCTGTTAGGACGTGTTTACCGGAAAAAAGGGAAGAAAGCCTGGTGGAATCAAGGTCCAGCTGCCAGAGAGCGACTGCCAGGGGATGTACGAGGTTCTGCCCTGTGCTGGCTCTAAAGCCTCGGTTCTCAGCTTGTGGGCCGTGACCCCGTAGGGGGTCGCTTGTCAGACCTTTCTGTTATGATTCACAACAGTGTCAAAATACAGTCGTGGAGCAGCAGTGAAATAATGTTATGGCTGGGGTCACCACAGCATCAAGAAATGTATTCAAGTGGGGCGTAGGTCTGATCACCAGTCCCTGGAACCTTGTGTGTGGCAGCAGGCTTCTTATTTGGTGGGAGGACAGCCCTGGGAGCACAGCTGGGGGAGCATCTGTGTTCATCATTTGACCACTGCACCTGACACCAAGACCTGCCCTCTGCTGGCTAATTACGATTGCTGCTTGGGTTTAGAGAAAATGCTGGCATTCAGTGTGGCCTGTGGTTCTCACGGAGATGAGACGCCCCCCCCCCCCTTTTATGATCTCTGAAGGATTTCTGACCCCCGAGGACCGACTGAGTCCATATCTGGTGCACACCCCTTAAGCAAGTATCCCGTTTGACACAGCAGTCCTCATCAGTAAGCCCAAGAGTCAACGCAAAGCGATTTCCAAGTTCCACACTTAATCTCTTTTCACAGAGATAGGAAGGCACACTGGGCTGCATGCCTGCACCGAGCTGTTTCCTGGGGCCGGGCATTCCTTTCTCCACTTTATCCCTGTGGTAATTGCTTAGGTAATGGGCTCCATCCTGGACATGGCCGCGCCGAAGAAACGCGGCGACGGTCAGTCACACAGGTCACCGTGTTAACTCTGGGCAGGCGCCACACTTTCCTGAGCATCATTTTCCCACACATCTGAATGGAGACGTGCAGGCCCGCAAGGAAGGACATCATAAGGTGTGTGTGTGTGTGTGTGTGTGTGTGTGTGTGTGTGTTGGGGGGTGGCAGAGGCTGCTGAGTTTATACCAGGTCTCTTTCTCTTGCAGAGTAAGTTGGCATGTTGCTGCTCCAGCCTCGGCGCGCAGAGGGCGCATCAGGGATGGCCTGGCTCAGTGACTAAACCGCTAGCCGAAGGGACTCTTACTCTTGTGAGGTTTCAGGGGTATTTCGAGCGAGGGAGCTCAGAGCGCGGAAGATTTGCTTCCCACCTTCCGGATTCTGGCAGTCAGGGGCAGGGACAAGCAGGGTGGAGGCCCTGAATGTTGGGGATGGCGGGCTGATGGGTCTGATCCGCACCCGCGGGGGCGCGGGCGGGGTGCAGAAGACCATACGGGCCGGCAGAGGGCGCCGGGCGCCTGCCGAGCATGCGGCACCGTGTTTGGGGTGCTTGCGGGGCGCGGGTCACGGGCTGCACTCGTGAGAGAGTTGACCGCAGAAGCGGCGTGGCGGGCGGAGCGGGCAGCGAGCGGCCGGGAGCTGGCGCGGGGCTGGCAGAGCGGAGGAGCGTGGCCTCCCAGAGCGGTGAGCACCCCCGGCCAGGGGCTCCTTGTACCCCGGTTGCGGGGCATTCGGAGACCGCGCGGCGACGCGGACAGCGGTCCAGGGCTTGCGGGGCGTGGGTGTAGGCAGAGTCGGCTCTGACTTCGGGCTTTGGGTGGAACTTGGGGTTGACCCGAAGAGGCGCTGAGTGCGGGACCCAAGTTTGGCTTACTCGAGGTTTGAACCTCAGGATTTGTCCCTCGGATCATGTCTTGGGCCGAGGGTCCCCCGGTGGGCGAGCTAGCCAGAGAAGGCACGGCAATTACGAAGGCGTCCCACACTCCTGCTCCAGCTGTGCCTCTGGGGAACCAAGAGTGGCTGTGGCCCGCCCGCCACTCTGCCTGTCAAGCTCAGCCCACCCCCAGGGCCGGGAGGGGACGCGGAGGCGGGGTGGGCTGAGCCCCGCTGGAACCCAGCCGTCTGGGGCCCTCGTTGTGGCTGCTCCGAGCTCCTGTGGCTGCTGACAGGGAGCGAATGCCTCGGGGAGGCTCGGGGTCCTGCCCTAAGAAAGAGGCGCCATAGGGGCGCTCGATGCGGGCTCCTGCAGCCTGGACAGGAATCTGCCCATGACTAGCCCAGGAGGCGCCTCTCCCAAGGACGCTCCGAGAACCCGGGGTGGGTGGGGGGCGCCCCTTCCCTGGGTACCTGGTCTGGGATTTCTTTCCCAAATCTGTTCCGGAGATTTTTGTGCCTCAGGAGGGGAACGCTTTAGGCTGGCTGGACTCCCCGGGAGAGCTCCAGCGGTGTGGGGAGAGGCGAAGGCAAAGCCAGGTAGGAGATCTTGATGGACTTGTCCAGGAGATGATGGGCTGGGATTTACCATAGCGAACACGCCATCTGCAGAGTCTTGGCGAACAACTTTGTATTTCCCTTTGCTTCTTAGGGCGTTTTGGAGAGAGGTTGTGGCGCCAGGGGCTTGGAGGAGAAATACGCGTATTTTAGGCTGTGTCTCCAGGGAAGAGGCAGCAGCTCTGAAGAGTAACACTGACCAGGAAGAGGCCTCAGATCTTGAGTTCATGACTTAGAATATGCTAAGAAGCCGACGCTTTCCTGGGGGAGCCTAGGGACTGGCCGGTGCCTGGGACTGTGACCTGGAGCAGGGAACCCAGACGACAGCAAGCAAGAGGGTCCTTTCAGCGGCATGGCTTGGGTTGCTACAGGCAAGCTCCCGGTGGAACAGCACTGTCCTTTGGTCTGGGCAGCATCTGGGGCTGGACAAGGGGCCGGGTGGTGAGTGATTGAGGGAAGTCCGGTGGGGCCACCGGAAAGTGCTCTTCTTCTTCTGGAAGATGGCTCCCAACACATCCACCATGGATGGGGCCGGGCTGGCAGTGGAGAGGGACTTCTCCTTTCGGATCCTCACCGCGTGCTTTCTGTCACTTCTCATCCTGTCCACTCTGCTGGGGAACACCCTCGTCTGCGCCGCTGTCATCAGGTTTCGACACCTGCGCTCCAAGGTGACCAACTTCTTCGTCATCTCTTTAGCCGTGTCGGATCTCCTGGTGGCTGTCCTGGTCATGCCCTGGAAGGCGGTGGCTGAGATTGCAGGCTTTTGGCCCTTTGGGTCCTTCTGTAACATCTGGGTGGCTTTTGACATCATGTGCTCCACGGCATCCATCCTCAACCTGTGTGTGATCAGCGTGGACAGGTACTGGGCTATTTCCAGCCCCTTCCAGTATGAGCGGAAGATGACTCCTAAGGCGGCCTTCATCCTGATCAGCGTAGCATGGACTCTGTCCGTCCTCATCTCTTTCATCCCAGTGCAGCTAAGCTGGCACAAAGCAAAACCAGCGTGGCCCCTGAATGGCAGTCTCACCTCCCTGGAAGACACTGAGGATGACAACTGTGACGCCAGGTTGAGCAGGACATATGCCATTTCATCCTCACTGGTAAGCTTTTACATCCCCGTGGCCATCATGCTTGTCACCTACACCAGGATCTACAGGATCGCCCAGAAACAGATCCGGCGCATCGCAGCCCTGGAGAGAGCAGCTGTCCACGCCAAGAACTGCCAGACCACCACAGGCAATGGGAACCCTGTTGAATGTTCTCAGTCGGAAAGCTCCTTTAAGATGTCCTTCAAGAGAGAGACTAAAGTGTTGAAGACGCTTTCTGTGATCATGGGGGTGTTCGTGTGCTGCTGGCTGCCTTTCTTCATCTCCAACTGCATGGTACCCTTCTGTGAGTCTGGGGAGACCCAGCCTTTCTGCATCGACTCCATCACTTTTGATGTGTTTGTGTGGTTTGGGTGGGCCAATTCCTCCTTGAACCCCATTATCTATGCCTTTAATGCTGATTTTCAAAAGGCGTTTTCAACCCTCTTAGGATGCTACAGACTCTGTCCCACCACGAATAATGCCATAGAGACGGTGAGCATCAACAATAACGGAGCCGTGTTTTCCAGCCACCACGAGCCGAGAGGCTCCATCTCCAAGGACTGCAATCTGGTTTACCTGATCCCCCACGCCGTGGGCTCCTCCGAGGACCTGAAAAAAGAGGAGGCAGGTGGGATAGCTAAGCCCCTGGAAAAGCTGTCTCCGGCCCTCTCGGTGATCTTGGACTACGACACCGATGTCTCTCTAGAGAAGATCCAACCAGTTGCACACAGTGGGCAGCACTCGACCTGAATTTGGGGCTCTTGTCTCCGAAGCTGGGAGCTCCGTAGGGCTTGCTATTAAGGAATTCAGCTCTGGTGGGTCTCCGAGGTACCATGAGACCTCTCTGCTGCTTTTGAACAATTACAGAGCTTTTCAGATGCGTTCATTCCAGTGTGTTTTTTCGTTACTCATAGTCCGATGGGGACATGAGAAGAGCTACAAGGGAAATGACTTTGGCTCTGAAATCATTTGTGAAACATTATCTTAGGATGTTATAAAAAACAGGGCAAAGAGTCAACAGTAAACTTCACTTAAAAATCAAAACTTTCCAGGAAGGAAGTGAGAGAGTTGAATTTGCTGTATCTAAACAGGTGCTAAAACTGTCCAAGCAGTTTTCAGATTGTAAAGGTAGGTGCATGCCTTCATTAGTTACTTCTACAACAATAACTGAGCCTTACAGCAAGAGTAGAATTTCTTTTTCTCAAAATTGACAGATGCATTGTTGCTAATGGTTTCGTTATTTATTTATTTATTTATTATTCATTTATTTATTGCATTTTATGGATATTTTAAATTTATCATAGTGAATCTATATTTATCATATTTAATAGAACAAACCAATGTTATAAGAGACTGAACTGTCCATTGTACTAGCACTTTATGAGCCAATGAAACAAACACACAGACTCTGAGATCCTGAATTCTGAATTACTTCTAGAAACACAGCAGAGGCTGATGTGGTGCCTCTGTCACTCAACACGGACACAAATAAATGCAAGAAGAGGGGGACCACTACCATCAATGCTCCCCACATATATTTTGAAAATGTCTTTTTTTTTTTTTTTTTAGAAGAAGCTACTATTGTGTTTTGAATGTTTTAAATGGCAAAGGCTTTCCTGGGGTGAATTTGCACTTCTGTAAATATCCATGTAAAAGCCAGCTCAAGAAGAATACAACTTTATATTTCTGTTTTTGGACGGCAAGGAAGAGCATATGCCACCTTGTATTTCTGTACAATAACTGGCCCTCCCTGTCGTTTCTCATTTCATGCTTGAGATAGCTCTCTGAAGCAGACAAGAGGCGTCCGGGATGGAGGTCTGCAGTGGGAGAATGAGCTGTGAATTCTCGGGCTGCAGCAGCCCTGTGATCCTTGCGCTCGTCCTTGGCTCTCATCTGCCCAGGTCCAGCCAGGTGTCTCAAGGGGCTACTTTCGTAGTGCTTTAGTTTGAATTTAGCACCCTACTTAAAAAAATAAAAGCTCTTTAACGTTAGTGCTGAACTAGCTAATGGATGGTGCCTCTTTGACTGCTGTGGAAGGAGTGGAAAGGCCTCTTTCTTGTGCCTGTTGAGCACCTCAAAGCTGTCTGCATCACCTGTCACAAATGCTATTCTTTTTTCCTCTGTGGTTTTGAATTTAGTTTCCACGTCATAGCCTGGACTGCAAAAAGTACCATAAAGTCCCCTCCTGTGGGGAATTGCAACAGTTTTTTTTTTTTTAAATGTTTACAAAGTATTCTTGAGAAGCAGCCGGCAACATGTGGCTGGGACCGAGGAGAAGCCGAGCAGCCTGCTGGCCGGAGCCCTGCGCCGGGTCTGTGTTATGTGCTCTGAATGTTTTCTCAGCTCTGCCGCTTGTATGCTTTCTTACATACAATAAAATTATTTTGTGAATTCAAACTAACCTCAGTGGTGCTGTGTTGCATTTGTTAAACCCATCTTAAAAGCTAGACTGTTTCAGGTTGACAGCTAAGAAAACAAGGGCATCTTCAGATATGTCTTTTTATGTCTTTTTTTTCCTTTCTTTTTAAGATGGGAATTTCTCTAGTATATGCCCTTAGTTACTGTTAGATATTTAAGTGGAAAACATTACCTCACATTTCTGTTATATTTTTAACTGGGTTCTGAAAAGAAACCTTGGTTCACATGAAAAATTATTCTGCTTCTCATTTTTCAGATTTGAAGATGTTCTCATTTTTAGCTCTTTCTTTTTAAGAGATTATTTGCAAATGGACTAAACATTTTAGAAAAGATGGTCTTGCTCTGGGTGCTTGTGGCTTCAGGGCTGACAGTGATCACTGTGCACGCAAGTGATGCTTACTTTAAAACATCATTAGAAATGCTCTGTCCTAAAGAATACATAGGTTGCGAATCTGCAGTCACCATAAAGCTTAACAGGCACACTCGTGAACTCAGCCAGTGCCACTCCCCAGCTAACCCGAAGAGGGAAAAGGGCTCAGCAGCTGGTGATGTAGGAACTAAGGGTTAAGTTCGTAATCTGGACTGCCACACAGCAGATGGCATCTCTTTAGAGTCCCTGCTTGTTTCTCCCAGGCCCTGGCAGTCACTGAACACATCTGGAATGAGCACCAGGTTAACCCTGCACATGTCTTTCGTACCTCATGGCTTCTGGGTGTCTTTTCTCCTGGAAGCTGAACTTCATGTTCAAGGTAGAAGCTCAGTGGCAGGCCACCGTGCTCAGGCAAGGCTGTCACTGTGGAGCCAATGAAACTGGACATAAGGGCATCCCTTAGATAGTGCATTTAGAGGTGGTTTCAGATAATTACAAAATTCAGCATGCTTTGAACAAGACTGTGCTTTAGGTTTCTCTGATTCTGGATTGGGGCTGCCTAAAGAGTGTCAGTTCTGACAAGTATAAAAGCAAATTTGTGATATGACTCATACTTAATTTTTAACTCTAGGTTGTAATAATGTTCAATATATGCAAAACACTTAACTGAGATGGAGACAGTTGCAGAATTTCTCTTTCTTCTTCAAGAAAAATCTGCAGTCACTAAATGCACACACAGTAACAAATATGAGAAGAAGAAAGCCTGAGCTCCCGGCCTGTGGATGAACGAGAAGACACCACAGGCCTGCCACTGGCTTCTTCTGGGACCTGAGTGAGCATTACTGTGAGTCCTTCCTGAGTATGCCCATCAGTGGGAATGCTGAAGCTTGTGTTCTGGTTTCTTCAGTGACAGCTCAGCCTAGCACCAGCTCAGTGTATCATGGGCTTCAGAAACTTCCTGAGCTCTTCATGTTCTCTGGGGAGTCTGGCCCAGACATGTGCCAGCATTTCTTCCCATTTCTTTCTATCCCAACCCCTCTGTCCAGAGCTTGCCTGCCGTTAGGGTCTGGGACTGCAGAAAGTACAGGGTCCCCTTTCAATAAGGGGGAGTATAAATGGGTATATTTACCTCTCCGAGGTTTTTTTTTTTTTTTTTTTTTTTTTTTGTGAGACGAGGTTTGGTGTGCAGGAGTCCATGATACTGCCTTGTAACTGATCTTTAGTGTTAATGGGTCTGCTATGTGACTTTTTTTAATGTAGTAGATTTTCAGCATACACGTGGTTTGGGGATTATCCCAGACACCAGTGCCTTTTGCTGTACCTACTTGCCCTTCCAGAAACAAGTGGCACCTTACCTCTTCCTGGTTAAAAACATTGCCCTAAGCTGTTGCTACACGATGATGGAATCTGCCGGCAACATTTTAATCCATCGAATCTCCTTATCTGAGAGAATCTGTCTAAGGAACCATAGGCCAACGGCTTGCCTGATCTGGGCCAGTGGATATGTGGCTTGCTAGCCTGTATGGCTGGCTTACACAGGTCATTTGAAGGAAACAGCATGGTGGGCCCCAGACTGGGGTGCTCGGTAGACACAATGTAGTTCCACAGGTTTGTTTGAGGTGCCTGCATAGGAAACACGACCTGTTTATTGGCCAGAAGACTGAGGGCACAGCGTGTGGCCGCACAAACACACTGCTGAGGGTTCTGCCTGGCCTTCTGTCACATAAACGTTCACGGGATGCACAGATTTAAAGCAGCAGCATTTGGACTATGGGCTGTTCAAGACTGAAGACTTGTAATCTACATAGTATTAGAAACTCAAAATTAATCTGCGATTTTAAAAGGTTTAAGTTTCCAGTCACTGTGAGAAAACTGTGTGGGACCAGCTAGAATGTTTCTGGTGATTGGAGAACAGACTCCACCAGCACCTGACATTTGTAGATGTCTTCAGCCACTAAGAAGGGTTTGATCTGAGACTGCCTTGCACATCCCTGGGAACAGAGGTAATAGCAAAGTGGCAGGTGGCAACAGGACCCAGGAAGACTGGGTTACAGGGCAGGATGTTTCATTTCATTTAAACAAATGGATCCATTATTTACATCACCTGTAAGTAAGTTTTCAGCTCTACAACAAGGATGTCATTGGAGTGGCCAGATGGAGAGCTTTCTCAGATGTTCTCTGAATGGGAATTATGAAATGTGAAATTATCTGATGTGAGCTCTCTTATGGGCAAACTTTGACGGTAACAGGTTCGCCCAGGTAGATTCTCTTTGCTAGAAACTTTAGGAGAAGGTACTTTTCATCAACACAGTAATGAATCTCATTATGACATCTCACTATTTTTTTTTTTGACTAAATTCTTTGCTCCCAGTCCTTTCTCTCCCCCACTTCTGTGCCCCCTCCTTTCCCCTGATAGCCCCCTTCTGCTTTCCTGGCCCACCTAAGATTTCTTCCTCCTTCTCACAGTCCTCTTTGTAGTTTCATGGTAGGTACCTCCATTCCCACCAGAATAATATTCACACATACAAAAACTGAAATCTCAGATCTGCATTGAGAAGCATGGTGCCTGTCTTCTGAGTCTGGCTTTCTAAGGTAAACATGATCATTTTCGGTTCTTTCCACTTTCTTGCAAATGTCATGATTTCATTTTTCTTTAAGACTGGGTCAGATTTCATTGTGTATGTGTGTACAGCACATTTCCTTTTACCCATTTCTCTGTCGGCAGATGTCTGGGCTGGGTCCATTTCCTACGTATTATGAACAGAGCAGCAATCAACATGGACGTGCAAATATCGCTGTGGTAGAGCTTTGAGCTCTTTGCGTGTGTACCCAGGAGTGGTGTGATCGGGTTACACAGTAGTCCCACTTCTAGTTTTCTGAGAAACCTTCATGCTGATTTCCATAATGCTGTACCAGCTTACACTCTGGCCAGTCGTGAAAAGGGTCCTCCTGGCCCCTGGCATCACCAGCAATTGTTTTTTTTAATGATAGCCATCCTCACTGGGGTGAGAATGAATCTTAAAGCAGTTTTAATTTGCATCTCAGAAAGAAATTTTAAAAATGCAAACTCTTCTATACTCACAGCATGCTTTAATGACTCCCAGATTTTTTTTTTTTTTTTTTTTTAGAAAAAAACAAAAACAAAAACCAACCAAATAAGCTTATTCAAAGACCTTCATGGCCTCCGCTGCCTCATGTCCTGCTGTTACCCACAGGCACCATCCCGCAGCCGTTACGCCTTTGTGTAGCACCTGGAATCCTTTCCTGCTTTTATACTTTTGTATTCGCT